CTTCAGGTCTGTGACTTCCAAGCATTTTGTCTTTTGGACTTCCTGGTGCCTCAGCGCCCCCTAGTGCCTTTGTGCAAGGCAAAGAAATACAGTTGTGGTAACTTAAGAGGACTTTGGTAAGTCACTTAAATGACAAGGTAGAATTCTGAAAACCCCTTGTGTAACTGTGATGGTGGGATTCCTGCTCCTTCTTTTACATTTGCCTGTCCAGAGGGCTAACCTCTATAATCTCATCACCACCCTGTAGGGAAAGAACAAGAGGAAGAGTGGGCAAGTGAGGAGAATGTTCTGGAAGAATGTGATGGAAACAAACTAGCTCCCCAGATAAGGCTGGAGGGTCACATCACTTTTCTTCTCAAGCCCTAGACTAGCTTTTGAGAAGGCAGAAAGAGCCTGACCTTCGGGAAACGCTTGAGATGTTAATTTTCCTTAGGTCATCTTGGCTCTGGCACTGTTGCTCCTCAGACAATGTCCACGAGTGTTTGATGGAACCTTTGTAGCATGCGGTGTCTGTGGGCTGGAGAACTGCATACATGCCAGGGTAGAAAATCAACTCATGAGAGCAGCCTTGCTGTCAGACTCTGATGTGGAACATGTGAAAAGCAAGACAAAAGCTTCCTCGCCTTGAAACAAAACACCAAATACATCTCATTAGTAATCCCAAAGTTTTCCCCACATAGGAGAGTGGGCAGTAGGACTAGGGAGGGGAAGACCCCTAGTTTGATGTTGTTTGAGAGACTGTTTAATGTTGCCCAGGGAAATGATGGTGTCCCTCTTGGCAGAAGAGCAAAAAGAAGGGGAAAGGAGAGTGGTGGTGAATGGTAGCTCAGCCCATGCTGTGGAAAAGATTGATGAAAATACCTGTAGATGGGTTTTAATTTTCCATCCCTGAACTTTTTTTTTTTTTTAAAGGAAGTGGGGGTATCCTCCAGGTGCTCTCTGCTTCTCGGTTGTAAGTATTTGATTCCCTAAAAGCTCTCAGGAGGGTGGCTGTTCTGTCACAAAGCCCTCCGGGATCCTTGCTGGTCTCATCAACTCATGACCGGGTCCACCTCCTCAAATTCAGGGTGAGAAAGTTCTGGGGTCCATGGATGAGAAGAAATTTGATTTTGTGATTTGAAATAAACCACTGAAAACCTTTCAAAGGAGAAAAAGCATGTTCTAGTTCATTAAAAACCAAGATCTAATCTTTCTACTGATCCAATGATTTAACTCTGTTGATGAACCATTTCTTTCACTGGCATTTTGTCCCTAGGAAGCTGACCAAATCATGAAAAAATGTTCCCAAACTGTAAGTAAATGGAAGCTACTTTGACTAGTTTCAGATCTTACTAACTTCTTGGCACAGAAATCAGACTTTGAAGCTGACTGATGTGAATGGGCAAAGCCAATAATTCTGACGCCTGACCAGACCCGGGTCTCTTACAAATGGACCTGCTCACACATGGCTTCCCCAGGCAAACACCCATCTTTGACGGGCTGTCAAGTGAACATGCTTTTTACCAAAAGCTGTGCATTTTCCATGTCGGTTTTATAAAAGAGGTTAGTAATCATTGGAATCTAGCCTAGCTCTGAGGTAACATTAGAAGTGAACAGGTGCATATGTATATGTTTTCTGGTTGGCGAATTCTAGCAATTTGTGTTCTGTACACTCGGCGTGAAGTGGAGAATGAAAACAATCCATCAGGTAATCTGGCCCACCACCTTCCCCGATAAATCCACTGTATGCTAAAACTACAGATTGAGGCAAAAATAAGAGTTCAGCAAGTCACGTTCCTAATGGGACCTTAGGACCCCACGGCAGAATGCACACAGGATTTAAGAAACCAGGTGAATATGGACTCTGAGGGCAGCCAAGAGTTAGGCACTGGTGAGAAACTCAGGGTTGGTTTGGTGGCTGTTCCTAGAGATTTGTAATCAGTGGCAAGCTGAATGCCTTCGACCTGAATTTCTAACCCTTTGTAAATAGAGACATCTAATGCCTCAGTGACCCATTCTGTGTCAGAGGCCACCCTTCCTGCTGACCCTGTCATTGTCTGCAGTGCAGAGCAATCCTCAAATGGGGGGGGGTACCCGGACACCATAATTTGTCGGGAGTCCCCTTCTGCCCCTCAGAGTGTGAGGAAGATTCCTGTCTGGAGAGAGAAGTTCCAATGACCTCTAGAATCTCAGAGTGGTTGCCAAGCTTTCTGTCAGTGAGATTTAAAAGCCATTTACTTGTGTTTATTTTATATTTAATGAGCTAGTTCATGCCAAAGGCCGGGCTGATGTCTCGTTTATTTTGGATACTGAACATTTGCACACAATTCCACTTGAAATATAGGATCGGGAATATAGACGATCACAGACCCGCAGAAGGGTCTTACAGCTGTGGGTGATGGACATTTGAGGTCAGGCCAAAATATCCACTCTTGGTGGGTGTTGTGTTTCATTCTGGGTGGTGACTTTGTGCTGTAATCACAGCAGAGAGTTACCAACCAAGAGCTGGAGATCCTGAAGAGAAGAGTGTGGGGAAGGCTCTACTGGGCAGACTGCTCGAAGGCTCACTTTCGTGGCTGTTCAGAGAAAAAGTTGGAGTTTCATAACCAGGAGACAGAGCAGTGACTTAGACACACAGGGCAGAAAAAAATCAGGTTAGGCCTGATGGAAATCAGGCAGTTGTCTGGCAATGAGGGATCCTCCTGTCTTTCTGCCCTTGGGGATGTGGGGGGCAGGGTGGGGAGGTGTGCTTGTTGGGGGCTGCCCATTTGGTAGTACCATGTGGAGGCCAGGCCAGCTCGTGTCTTTGGGAAACTATCTGTGAGGCTGTCACCAACAGCGATGGTAGGCTGGAGCTCCTGGCATGTGTCCCCAGAACTCTGATAGTGTGACAAATTGGAGTGGTCCATGATGGCAGAGAGCAGATGGTCAAGAGTCACTCAAACATGCTGGAGGGGCTCTCACACCAGCCTTCGACTGTAGGTCTAACCAGGCCGTTGGGGCCATACCCTAACACTATACTTCCCTAGGTTTTTTTGGTCCATGAAATTCTGGAACTTTGCCTGGAGGGATGCTCCTAAAAAAGAATTCCATGGACCTGTAACTCTGGCAAGTCCTGTGTGCCTCCCTTTAGATTTCTTCAAAGGCCTAGCAACTCATTGGAGGCTTGGGACCTGCATCGAGGAATTCTGTTTAACGCTGCCCTCCTCCAAACTCCTATCTGACCCCCTCCTGAGAAACCTGTTCTGACCTCCAGATCTCTCGAGGGGGCACCAGCCAGGGGCAGGGACTCACGATTAGCAAGAATGGTGCACTCATGAGAAGGCTGAGGAAGTTAAAAGAGCCCCCAACCACATGAAGGAGGCCTCTCTTGGGATGCTTCCTCTTGTCGTCTCCCTTGTCCCTGGACTGAGGGGCTTAAAAGGATAAAGGAGGTGTAGAGAGAGTGTCTTAGACCAGCTCTCCTAAAATGGGCCTTGGGGAGATGCATTCCTTTTCTTTGGACTCGTTTTCCAAACCTGCATTCATGGATGGATAGGGTGGACCAGGGTTGAGGGGGTGGACACAGAATCTAGTCTTGGCCTTACAACAATACCACACCAGTTCTCCAGGATGCTTTATGCACCAGGGAGGGGCACTGTCTTCCCATCTGTTAGCTTTACCTTTCCCATGCAACTTGCCAACTAGAGTTGCCTCCCACTACATTAAGCAGAACTACCCCAGGGGTCCTATTGCCTCCGACCATACATATATACTCACTTTATCCCATGATCTTATATTTGCAAGAACATTGTTTGCTTCTACCACTTTCTTAGAAATGGACAAGTGAGTTATGGTAGTGTCTGAAGTTGCCCAATTTTAAGCAAGGGGAAGAATCTGGTTGAAGGATTCAACAAAGTCTCTTGGAATTGGGATAATAGAAGTGTACCTGAGGTATCCCTTTGTTTGCTTTGACTGCACTGTCTTCAGAGGAAGAGGCCCAGACAACAGCTTTGACTATGATCCTGTTCTCCCTCAAAACACAGCTGATAGGGGACTGGTGGGGCCATCTGGTCCCATCTTCTTCGGCCTAGCTCAGAAAGAGGAGTTGCCCTAATCACATTATTAGTCTTCCTGGACAGGCTGTAGTAACAAAAGGGGCTGAGAAGTGTCTTCTCATCTAACTTCTTCCAAGGCTGATTTTGATGGCTGGGTCAAGTTCACTCATGTTTGGCTATTGACCAACCTAATCTATTCATTCTTGGTGGTCCTCAGTCATGCTCCCTTACCTTCACAGAGCATTCTAGACTGCTCTTCCTCCTACCTCCCTCCTGAAGCCCACAGCCTCTGATTCTTTCCCTTCATTTCCTGCTCTATGCCCTCTACCAATCCCTGACCTATAACTTCAGTAGTCCAGACTCCAGTCCTGGTGGAGCCCTGTGGGATGTAAGTCAAGGCTAACTTCCCTCTCTCTCTTTGGGATTTGCTGGGAGTATTGTAAATATAGTGTTGTCATAATTATTTCTGATTAATATTTTTACACCTAATAAAGTTTCAAAGGGATGGTGTTTACTTGGTCTAGGGGAGGGGCACCTTCCAGATGACTTGCCCAGCAATTAAAGCGGCTCGTTAGTTGGAGGCCCGGGATGGCCGAGGACAGCTGGAGAGCTCTTCTTTGCAAGCAGCTCTGGTTAACATCAACCAGGAAAGCTCTTTGTAAACACATGAATAATTGATCGTCCAGCGCTCACATAGCTACTGAGGATCTGAGCCTGTATGACTCATTTGCAAGCCATCCCTGTCGTCTGGATGCCATAACATTGGAGGAATGATGATTGTTTCTTGGAGATTCTTCTGTGGCCAGAGTTGCCAAGACCAAGGCTGTAATGGTTTGTTATGATGACCTTTGTTATTCCATTAGACTCAATTGCTTTAAAAAATGATGTGTGCATACTTTAGGAACGTTTTTACCCTTTACGTTGACCTGACATCATAGTTTATATTACAAAATGTATTAATGACAGAGGAGTGTTTTCATGTCCCAAGGACAAATTTTAACAACCATAATCTGCCCTTAGTCATCATAAATATAAATGTATTGGTCAAACAGATCTCGTTAATGTGGCCAAGATAAATGCAAGTCTATATTTTAAGGCAGTTGAAGTTCTAGAGAATATTTGGAGCTTTTTGTGGGGCTAAGAGATCTTGTATACGTGCTATCAAAGGGCTGAGAAAATTAACATGTTTCCCCCTCTGGTTTTTTGTTGGACAGATATAAACGTCTTGGGGATGTCAAGTAAGATTGTTCACATAGTTTCTGGACTCCGTTAATGCCTGGTGGGGTGAAGCTTAGTTCTTAAAGCTGTATTCTTTTCATTATGCTCACAGTGCTTCTGAAAGGAAAATAAAGATTTCAAGACTTAGCAATGTGTTGCTCAACCCCATTTTCCTGTATTACACTGTGCCTTGAAGTTTTAATTTTATGAGTGTCCCCTGCCCCACCATCGTGCTTCCTGTAGGAGGAGCCCCTTTTCAACAGATGCACAGCTGACATTTTGCAATCTATATGCTGGGCATGGTCTGGGTCGGACACTTTGTCTTCCTCTCCGTTACGCCACACTCAGAAGTGTTGGCCGTTGCTGGTTGTGTCCACATTTTAAGTTTCTCAGGCAGAAAATAAATCCTTATTTAGAATCCTTTTTAATCGTGTTCTTAGTCTGAACCATGAAAATGTGTTTAAGGCAGGGATGTCTCAAATGCCACTCACTGAGAGAGCAGACTGTTTACAGGGGGAGTTCGTCTCCCCTCAACATGGCAAACATGGCGCCAGGATTAAACTCTGTGTGGATTATGGTCACCTGGCAATGACTGATGAGCACTTCAAATAAAACCATTTACCCCTTGTCCCTTAGAAGAATCTTCTAAGAGGAATCTTCCCTTCTGCGTCAGCCGTTGTCTTTGGTCGCACCACCTATTGGGTTTTGGAGTCATGATTTTGCCTCGATACCCTCTCTGGAGTTGGGGGTTGACTTATTTTCTAAATCTGACAATGTGGCGATAGTTCTGTGATAATTTCCTATGTGGTTTAAACCTTTTGATCTGTTTAGAGAGTGAGGCACATACACCTAGGTTCATATCAACACTATTCACTCTAGCCAACAGGCGGGAGCAACCCAAGTGTCTGATGAGAGATGAACGGAATAAAGAAAATGTAGTATATGTATAGAATGGAATGTTATTC